TATAACATATTTAAAACATATTTAAATTATAAATCATATCCACAATAAAATTAAAATAAATAATAAATAAATAACTAAATTTTGAACTAATCTCTATAAATAACTCTAATCAATAACAAAATGTCTGAGATAGCTTGTTGCAATCAGTAAGTTTAGATCAAACTTGTAAGTTTCTCAAACCACCTATAGATGAAATTAAATTGTATTTCATGACAAAAAATTTTATTGAACAATATTAGTATAGTCTAACTTGTTAGGATCATATTTGTTAAAACAACCGACACAATTTTACTGTTGAGATTATGAATTGCTGACTTTTTATGTTTTAGAAACATGATAATCAGTACAAGAAAGTTTATGCGTTGAAAAAATGGAACACAGCAGACAAAAATGCCAAATTTAGCATTTTTTTCATTTAAAATGAAAAAAAATCAAGAATTTCACAATAAAACTTAGGTCCAGCTAGGCATTTCTGGTCTGAGATTTACGGCTTACATTTGCAACCACAATTTTATTTTATTTTTTCAGATTTGATATGGTATACAACGCAATTGAACTTGAAAAAAAAAATTCAAAGAATGACGGATTCGATGCACATGAACATCAAATATAAATATTAGAAATAGTATATACTAAGAAGATAATGTTTCAAACTTTTCTCAGATGAAAACAAAAATAAATACTTCTATAGAAGTTTGTGTGTTTCTTTGTATGTTTCTAGTAAGAGAATCGATTGTGACCTATGAGTAGTGGTGGCAACTGAGCGGGTTGGGTCAAATTTGGGCGGGTTGAAAATGGGTCAACATAAAATGGGTAATAATTCAACCTGCTCATATTTGATATAGGTAAAAATGGATTGGGTAAAATACTAGTTTACCCATATTTTATCCATATTTTCATGAGTAAATAGTTCTCTACATAAGAATTCAACATGGAGAAAATATTTTAGTCTTTTTTTAGATGAAATATGTTAAAAATGTTTCATTTAGATTTATTGTATCATAAAAGTAAAAAAAAAAAATCCTATAACTTTTCAATATAAAATAAATTTATGTTTTCCTGAAAAACAAGTAGATTTTTTATTTATTTTCTCATGTTTGGTTGGTGAGTAGAAAATATTTTTCGGAAAAGATTTGTAGTGTTTGGTTTATGAATGAAAAATATTTTTGAGAAATATCTTTTATTTTTACTAGAGTAGAAAATAATTTTTGAAATTGAAAATATTTTTAAAAACAAACTTAATTTTTTTGGGGGATTGGGGAGGGGGGGGTGGTAGGGGGGATGGCAGGGGTGGGATCGAGGGTAGGGGTGAGAAAATAAAAATTTGAAGTTGAAAATATTTTTTAAAAACAAACTTAAATTTTTTTTTGGGGGGTGGGGGGCTGGTAGGGGATGGATGGGGCTGATTGGAGGGGGGGGGGAGGGGTCGATGGTAGGGATGAAAAAATGAATTTTTGAAGTTGAAAATATTTTTTAAAAATAAACTTAAAACTATTTGTTTGGGGGGTGGGGGGGGCTGGTAGGGCGTGCGTGGTGGCGTGGGGGGGGGGGGTCGAAGGTAGGGGTGAAAAAATGAAATTTTGAAGTTCAAAATATTTTTTTAAAATAAACTTAAATTTTTTTTTGGGGGGTGGAGGATGTAAGGGGTGGGTGGGTGTGGGGGGGGGGGGGGTCAAGAGTAGGAGTGAAAATGTTTTCCTTCATAGCAAACACACCCTAAAACATGCTTAATGCACTTTAAGCAATGTCAATACTAGTACATGATTTGCTTATTTTACACTATTATTTATTATCCAATATAAAATTAAATAAATAAAAAAAATATAATTAAAATTAACAAAAGAAATGTACATTTAAAATAGATATTTTTGGAGGGCCAAAGACTTCGCATTTTCAATTATAGAGAAAAATAATTAGTTTTGATAGAAGAACATAAGAAGGAAGAGAAGTTACAATATATTTGGTAATATCATAAATTTTGAGTGAATAAAAGTTAGAAGCTTAACTCATTTGGCTAATCCATATTTTACCAATATTTTTATGGGTTGAATATGGGTATCAACCCATATTTTACCCATGTAAAAAGTCACTCACCCAAGCCATTAAATATGAGCTCATTTTGCCGGCACTACATATGAGGTATAAATGTTGTAAATGTTAGTTTTTTTTTAAAATGAATAATGTTAAATATTAGCTATTTTAAGTGTATATTTAATTTCACACATTTTTAGTCAAATTCCTAGCTCCACCTATGCATTCATTTCAAAGTTAAAAACAGATACAAGGACTAGTTTGATTTTAATATATATGATGTGTAAAAAGTAAATTTTTATTTACACACTTGGTAAGTGTTTGGTCACCCACTAATCGCAAGATTACATATTTATTATATATATACTTATAAGTATAATATGTTTATACCTAACATAATTTTTCGATGTTGATCGGGAGCACTTTTACTCGAGCATTTTAGACAGGTAAATTCGGCTACATTTTTGTGGAACTAAATTTGACACTTGAGTAGATCAGAGCTAACGACGGATGGAAACTCTTACTGGCTTTTGGAGACTTATAAAGTCATCAACATGAAAATAGCAATTCCTTCACTTTCTCTGGTAACAGTCAAAGAATATGAATCCTGGTAAAGTACACACACTGAAAAAAAAGGCTGCACTGACAGACCAGCTTATTACTCAAAATTATATCTCTTACACGGACTTAAAAAAAATCATAAATTACAACTGGATATTAACATATTCTCAGGCGAAGAATCACATATTTATAGGCATCTGGTGGAACAATATAATATTGTGACTTCCATCGGATCGGATGTTAGTTTTTTTCCTAATCCAGTCTTATCAGAAGATGCTCAACTTGAACTTCCTTTGTCAATGGCATTGAACAAAAGTGGGATTGTGACTCTATTAAAGTTGTAATTCTATCTATATAAGATCATTAACTTCAGGGGCGGACCTACAGTGGTTCAAGTGGGTTCATATGAACCCACTTCGTTGAAAAATAACACTGTATATATATGTATATTTAATCAGTTTATAAAATTTTATATGTATATATTAAATTTTGAACCCACTAACACAAGTCTGAAGCTTAGCCGAGTGATTGAGGGGGTTCAATTCTCCCAGCCAACCTGGGATCGAATCCCCATTGCCACATTTTAGTTAGAAACTATAAAAAGTAGAACAACTTTTTACTTTTACAATTAAAAGTCCAATAGTCAACAACTTTTGTTCTTTTTGTTTTAAATTATTTAAAAAAAAAAAAACTCAACTACAAAGGCACTAATCCCTATTATTCTCAATTCTAAAAACCCTTTTGTCTTCTTCTTTGTTGAATGTTTTTCGCTCTTGATTCTAGTCTTTATATATACATATATGATTATTGTGGTTATTTTTTATTTCTTCAACTAAAAAATCCCTTATCATTCTAAAATCAACAAAAAAAAAATTCTATGTATTCGATTATGAAATTAAGGTTATAATTATTTTGTTTAATATTTTGTTTTTATTTGTTAAATGTTGAATGAAGAGAAATCATTCATAATATTTTTTTATTTTCTTAGTTTATATTGAAGCCTAATTTTTCGTCCATCTTGTTATTTACCGTCTCATTCATAAGTCAATGTAATTTTTTTTTCAAATGTATTAACATTGTTTAGTATAGTCAAATATGTATGTTGTTAGCCTCATAAAAATTACAAATAATATTAGGTATATTTTTATATCTTGAACACACTTCGTGAAAATCTGGATCCGCCACTGATTAACTTGACTGAATACAAGATCAGTCCATTGTTCTTTTTCTCTGGAAACTATTCTCACACTCCAGTTATATTTTATTTGAGCTTATTGTATCTTAAGTTCTTCGGTGCTTGCCATGCTTTGTGACAGATGTTGGCTACTTGTGAATCACATTAAAGGTAACTTCTTTAACCAAAACATATAACTTCATGCACACACTTAGTTTAACTTCAATGAATGTTGCAAAATTTAATGCAACTGGTTGTGTGATGAAAATTTAAACAAAGATTGATTTTTTGAAGCTTGAGAATGAATGTTGCAGATCTAATCCCAGTTTTGAGTTTGGTCAGCACAGTTGTGTAGTAATTGGTAACCAATTTCAAGCATGACCTGCAAATTAAAAGCATGGTCGAAGACTCGAAACCAATGTCGTTATCAGAATAAAATAGGTGCCAATTCTTGCTTAGAATCAAGATATTTGCAATACAAGAGAGTAAGACATATCCATTCATGCATTGTTGACAAATGTGTTTTTATTCCATAACCTATCGCACATAAAATAAGACAGAGATTCTTGTATGAGTCAAGAAGATATTAACACTGAACAGTTAAATACCGTCAACCAAATGCTGCATCGATCAGTTATGTCAAGCTTATTTTTTCTTATGGGGATAACTGAGTGATACATAGTTATGCAGATTTTACTTTTTCTTATGCAGCAAACAAATGGCATACTGTTTATGCTGAGATTTATTTTTGCTAATGAGTCCAACCAAAGGATCCCTAAGAGAAATAATCGTTTAAAGTAAATGCATTATAAGGAATTTCATGAGAAACAAAGAATGGCCATAATGGACAATAGAAAGGACAGAATGGATCTGATCAATTATAGCAATTGTTGTGTTCACCACAATCGGAATAAACTTATTATCAACCTGTTCGAGAACTTTGGCACCCTCCAGGCAGTTTTTATCAATGGTATCAGGAACCGATGAATCACCGATAAAATGCAAGACGTCAGAAGTGACATTGAGTATAGAATCCTGATTCTTAAGATTCGCTGTTCCAGTACCAGTCTGCATCTCATATTGGAAAAAGTAAAAATTCATCATCTTAACAAAATAGAGAAGAAGTCCCAAGAACATCTGAGATATAGCTAAGGTAAATAACTGTAATATCTGGAGGGAAGTCCCTCCATTTTCTCCCAGAAACTTCAGTTTTTGTTGGTGCAAATTGTGAGTAAAAAAAGCCAGGCATGACAATTCTGTTACAAAAATCAGAACATATGCAAGATGGAATTTGAAAGAGACTATGTAGTGCAGGAGACTAAGAAATAGACATTGTAATCTCTAAGGCTTTCATGATTAATAAGAATGCAGTCTAAGATAATCTTGAGAAGTTGGAGAAAGAAATGCAGCTAATTGACTGAAACATTCAGCTCTTAATTCTTATTCAGGTCAGGAACAAATGACAGGAATGGTTTATCTTCTTTTGACTTCCCATTGCGTGTACTTGTGCACTCCCCTTGAGCTTGTAATTTGCTATTCCAGATGTTAACAAGTTTCATTTTCACACTTGGCCTGATGGAGAAACACCAGGTCGTGAGAGTTGCTAACATATTTGATTGAGATAATATCAGCAAGACACCTAACCCTCCGAAGAAATTTGATAACATTACCTTTCGACAGAGAATAAACTGTCACCACACTGTAATGTTCAACGAAGATAAATGCTAGAATCAAACAAAGTGTAGAAAAGATAACTTATCACATCCCTTTATCCATGCTTGTGTACTTCCACTGTGTAAACATCAGGACCTGAGATGTATCCTGAAAGCTTGAATGAACAATTGCTTGCACTCAATTTGTTAAGGGAACTCAGATGAATCCCAAACCCACTGGACAATAGTGGCAACGGAGAAGGAGAAACACCTGTGCAAAGCAGGTCATCCTCACTGCATGCAAATAAACAAAATCTAAAAAAACAGACAGGAAATATCCTTAAGTTAACTGGTGTATCAAATATGGACCTTTCAATATCAACAATTTTGAAGGAGACACTGGGATGCACAAGGGCGATTCTCAGCAGAAACTCTTTCAGAGAATGTAAGACCTTGTTTGGGCTTCCGGATTATATATGCAAACCAAAAGATCAATAAGATCAGAGTATAGCTTTAGAAGTGAAGTATGTAAATCAATTTTTTTTTTACTTGTTTGTGTTTGAGGAAAACTAGAAAGTACTTGAAGTGCATTTGCTTCCTTCGAACTGGTGGTTGTAAAATTCATCACAAACCCACCTGAGATGTCGTGCCAAGCAACAGTTCTTTAGCTTCACAGGCAACATGTTTGATAGAACATCCAAGGATGAAAACAAACCAACAGCCCTTAAGCTGTGATGATGACAAATGAAGTTGAATAGAGTTGGGTCAGGAATTGGAGCTACCCTTATCTTGGTGAGGCAAACCGTTAAGGCATCTCTGTTTTGCAACCGAGGTCTGCAGCCATGGCGTTTGCTTTGTCTCCTTTTGCCTGGTTTTTTCAACAAATCTGAGCCTTAGGAGAAAGAATTGGCCGAAAGACGCTTGATACGGCACATCTTAGAGTACTCCACCGGGTTGATGCTCTTAACTGTCCCATTGACGATGTCCGATCAAATACCTAAATCAATTTTCCAGCCAATCTACTGTTCTTCCCATTATGTTGATATTCTTGCATCCATTAAAAAAGAAAGAAGGAAAATTCGAGAACTTGATATTGGCAGATTTTCTTGGTATTCATGCACGCATTCTCTTTAACAAAAATTCAAGAACTTGTTGGATTTTTAAAGTTACCTTGGTATTCTTAGATGCATAGTTTTAGGAAATCAAAGAAAATGTTGTTTTCAAGAATATATTGACATTGTACATCTTACATATTCAGGAAATTCAAGAAATCTTTTTTTTTAAATTATGTTGTTAATCTTGCCATGTGTGTATAGGATGTTCAAGAATTTGTATTTATCTTGTATGAAATATTGGGTTTTTTAGGGGTGGTTGCCTCCCTTCTCTAGTAAACCCCGATCTTTTTTGAAGTTTTGCACTAATGCTAGTTTGCATTTTCGGTTTTGCAAGTAATTACTTGTGAACCCCTTTTTGTTAGATTAGCTCAGAATGAGGCAGCAGAGAGAATAATGAGATTTCTATTCAAGGGTGGTTTCCCTTCTCTATGCTTTGCCTATGATTCTTCCATTTTCTAAACAAACCAACAACCCTTAAAAAAGATAAGATACATATATAGAGTACACTACAGTTTCTGGGTTTTTTTCCCAGTACTGGTTGTGGACTGTGATTTTCTTGAGCTGAGGTTGATTGGAAACAACCTCTCTAGTCCCCCACAAAGGACCGGGGTAAGGTCTATCTACCAATGCTAGCTTTTAATTATAGGATAAGGTTGTGATGATGACAAATGAAGTTGTATAGAGTTGGGTCAGGAAATGGAGCTATCCTTTCTTGGTGAGGCAACCCGGTAAGGCATCTCCGTTTTGCAACCGAGGTCTGCAGCCATTGCGGTTTCTTTGTTTCCTTTTGCCTGGTTTTATAACAAATCTGAGCCTCAGGAGAATTAATTGGCCGAAAGACACTTGAAGTCTTGTGAATCCCCTTTTGTTAGGTTAGCCTATAAAAGGCAAGAATGAGATAGCAGAGAGTTTCTGGGTTTCTTTTCATTTTTGCACCCTTGAACGTATGCTCATAAGGCAATATCCACAACTATACAACAACAACATGACTATGAAAATTAATAAAGAGGCACTGATGATTTCTGGGCTTACTAAATTTGGGCATTGAGATTACTCAACCTGTATCTTGCCGGGGAAACCCAGTATGGCCTGTAATTGAGAAGCATAAATCACACTTGCAATCGTATGTTGCAGCCATGGTGTGGTTGGATTCTCTTTGGCCTTATCGTAACACAAATCTGAGCCTCAATTTGCTAAAGAATAAAGGAAAAAGGGTCAAATTTACCCATGTACTATGCATAAGGGGCAATATGTTTTCCATGATTAATGTGTAGATATTGAACTCATGCCCTTCTGATTTGCAGTTTGAATGCTTTTCATCCGCAATGGACCTTAGAGCCTTTTTGCACTTTTCACCTTTGATAACAGCTGAAGTTGAGCTGGAACATATATATATTGGTGCTTTGGCACTTCTACCCAGCTTCTGGCGACAATATGTGCTTGTTTCTTTCATCTTTTGTTATGCTTTCTTTTTGTCTGGCCATTTTAACTATGGTTTTGTATGCTTCTTTACACCAGCGGCATCAAAATACAGCCATTCAGATGATATGCTTTCCCAGCAAGCTTTGGCTTTAAAGGAGAGGCTCTGAGCTCTGTTTCTGACGTTTCTTTGTTGGAAATTGTTAGTAAAACTCATGTGAGGCGACATGGATATCGTAAGGTTTTGGCGGTAAAGCTCTTTTGAGATTTAGTTGGTAGTATCTATTAGGATAGGTATAAACCTACTAACTTGGTCTTTGTTCTTAGCACTCTGTTTACAGGACGACGAAGTGTTTGTACCTTGGAATTGATGATTGTAGACAAAATGTTTGTACAACAGGAAATTCTGTATAAGCCTACCTGATACATGAGTAGACTGATGTTTGCTAATAAGTAAATTTCTTGGGATTTTTCTTTTGCGGTCATTGTTCGTGATGTATTTTACCACCAACCATTTCGAAGGAACCAAATGCACTCCAAGTACTTCTAGTTTTCTCACAATTCAAACAAATAAAAAATATTGGTTTACATACTTAACTTCTAAAGTTGTACTCTGTCGAATGATCTTTTGGTTTGCATATATAATCTGTGGAAGCCCAAAGAGGGTCTTGCATTCTCTGAAAGAGTCTGTGCTAAGAATCGCCCTTGTGCACTCCAGTGTCTCCTTCAAAATTGTTGATATTGAAAAGTCCGTCTTTGTTATACCAGCTAACTTATTTCCGTCTGGCTTATTAGATTTTGTTCATTATCATGCAATGAGGATGACTTGATATGCACACGTGCTTCTCCTTCTCCCTTGCCGCTATTGTCCAGTGGGTTTGGGGTACATCTGAGTTCCCTTGACAAATTGAATGCAAACAATGTTCATTCAAGTTCTCAGGATACATCTCAGGTCCTGATGTTTACACAGTGAAGGTATAGAGGCCCAAATTGATGGATGAGAGTTGTTATAAGTTCTCGTTTTTACACTTTGTTTCCCTAACAACCCTTGTTTAATTTGCAGGTCCTTCAATATTTCTGTAGCCACTTATTTCAATATAATTTCCTGAACAATTAATCTTTGCTTAACATTTACTATATCGAATGCTTGTTTTTAACGGTTTTCTTGTTTTCCTTGACCCTCTAATGCAGATATCAATCCAAGATTTGTTTTCAAAGGACCAATACATAAATTACTTAAATAACACAGCGATGAGTTTTGACAGTCTTCTGACATTGAGCTACGAATTAGATCTCAGATATATCCACTTCTTTTGTTGAACCTAAGCTGCCCAAGATCTTTATATGATTCGACTTTCGTGCCTTCAACGACCTCTCTGTGGAATTCGAGGTGAGATTTTCTGTTATTTACTTGTTTTGGGGGTTGGGAAACGAACTTGAATCTTTGGATTTATTTTTATTGAATTGAGTTTGTATTGTGAGAATTGGTTTGGGTTGTTTTTTGTAAAACGTAGTATATCATAACACCTAATCTTTTTTTGAAACTTCAATGTGGGTGAAATAAATAGGTTAAAAGACTGGCTTAAAATCTTTATTTATTACTAATCGTATTTAATATAGGACCCCCTGGCAGGCAAGGCCCTTGCGTCATAGCTCGTCCCGGAGAACAAAATAATCCCCCATTTATTATAGGAGAACAATGCAAAACCCGGTTTCTAACTTCTTTTAGTTGCAAAACTAAATCGGCCAATGTTAAAAGGACATGCCATACTGATTGGAGTGTTGTATTTCTTATTACAATGTGTTCGCTGCTTCTTAGACTGACCATTCTTCCAGCTTTAACTTAGTCTACTGGTTTTTGCTTACCCAATCATTTCGCTTCCCTTTAAATTGATTTTGCAGTTTTTTTTTTTTCAAAATGTACGTCAACTTTTCATAGATCTAGATTTTTGTTACATCAATCTTCTTGGAGCCTTGCTATCTTTAGGAGATGGTGACATCCAGATGTATATTAATTTTTTGATTTCTGACCACGTACTTTTTGAAATGATATGATTCTTTGTTGTTTCTCTCTGATTTTAATAGAAATTTATTGCATACATCGGTAATGCATGTTAATAAGTTTGTGATGGGAGAACAATTATAGCTGGCAGATCAATAGAAGATGCCCCATTTAGGTAGTCTCTTGATCCTGATGACAGTTCGAATGTGATGCATGAGAGAAGGAAAACATTTACCCGGAGCTGTTCTTTGCACAGAAGCCTGATATATGATGGATCATTTTGATAGTTATTATAGTGTTGGATTTGAAGTAGCTGATGATCTTAACCAGGTCTTAAATCAAAAGGTATCCTAGAGGCAAGAAATATATTTTGAGAACTTCTCCAGGTGCAAAACTCAGAGCAAGGCATTGCAAAGGTCAATATTTTTGTCAGCAGATTCAGAAAAATGGGATTGAAACTTCTGTTAAACATGAAGTTGTTGTTACTATAGTTTTGAAAACATGGAACATATTCTCTTGGTCCTTGCCATAAATAATTTGGAAAAAGAGGACTGCTTGTTCCCAAAGTTTGACCTCAAATTTTATGATCTTTCTAGAAAGAATATGGCCAGTATAGGGGGAATTGATCGTAGTTCAGGTCCTTCTGAATACCATTATGATTGAAATGATTTGACACATGCATTTTCATGGTGAAGAAAATCTTAATAATTACTTGACACCACGAGCTATGCTCTCTGCTAGGGTGGATGGGAGCTCGCATAAATCGATTGATGAGTTTGTAAGGAAGAATAGTAGAGGAAGTCATTCAGCTCCTCCATTATACCAAAGCAAGAAGTTCTTTGCCACGAGCGAGTCTTCAAGAACGACAGCAGGAAATAACAATATTAAGACTGTTCATGATATGCCACTTGTGCCAGGTAATTTGTCCTTGAATGCTCGTCTGTTTTAATAATCAAAGATGACAGAAAATCTATTCAACTAATTAAATGTTCTTGTCCATCGTGCAGAAACAAGAGCTGCATATGAAACCTTTAAACAAATCTGGAAAAGCACATTGAAAAAAAAAAAAACCGGCACTAACAGAAACAGCATGGGAATTCATTGGAAAAGACCAGCTTATAATGTTCATTATTCAAAAACATATCCCTCTTTTACTTTCTCAAGGGCAAAAAATCATAAATTACAACAGGTTTTTATCGACATATTCCCAGGAGAAGAATCACTGTTTAGTTTTTTAACACCTCCATGTTCATTTACAATGCTAGAAATCACTATAAGAAACCAAGTCCCATCATATATTTATAGGCATCTGGTGGAACAGTATAATATTAGCGCAATAACTCACTGGTCATGTATTCCATCAGGTGTATTCCCCCCTAATCCAGTCTTCTCAGAAGATACTCAACTTGAACTTCCTTTGTCAATGGCATGATCCAGTCCCCATACAGTTCGGCAACTAGGGATGGTTTTATTTTGTACACGGGATCACCTACATTTTCCGGTCCATTGTTCAGTTCCTGTCCATAAGTTTTGGTTTTCATTTCTACTCTATTTTTGATAGCCTCTTCAACAGTAGGGTAGGTTAGTAAATCCATCAGTCCGTTTCTGTCCTGGAGAATGATAGCCATCACAAAATATCAAATATAAGTGCTCTTGCGTATCTTTAACACGAATTCACGAAGCACAGAAATTAAGCCGAATCCACTCTCTTCAGCAAAAAAAAAAAATTAAGCAATTTCCTTCGACAAAAGTGGACGTATCAGGAAATGGATTACCTGTGCTTTTATAGCAGCCTTATAGACATCTGGTGAAGCTCGAAATTTTGCTTCGGCAACAAATTTTCCATAATGAATTCTCTTTGACAAGGTCTGCATATAATTATAAGGTTGCAGCAATCAGTACATTGAGTACACCTGCAAACTCTTAAGGCAGTGGATAGAAGAATGCTTTCAGATAAGAACACCGGTAGGGAATCTCAAGGCAATTTCTTGGTGTCATTTTCTTTCTAATCTATCGTATCCAGTTACCAACGGAAATTCTGAAATCAGCATATTAGATATGTTGCTACATAACAGCTCCTAAATCACTAGCGTTAATGTAATTTGAATGTCAATTTCACACTAATGAAGGCAAAAGCAGTCTAGAGGGCACAAATCAGAGAAACAAAAATTTCCAAAATCATTTGATTAGCTGTCATCCTTCCCAACAATAGATCGTACGAAATCCTATACATATCTATTACCTCAGTATCATATAATACCGGCTGATACTCCTGCACAGTAGGCGCGGACTAAGTCTGCTGTTCGTCTATGATTCTTCTTGTTCAAATTAATTTTTTCCTAGCACAAACATTTTGCAATGTTAGGTCCGGACCAGCTGTCGTGCACCTCAACTAATTCCACGGAATACCTGCCACCTCCCACCACCTTCCACCACTAACAAGTACCAGGTAACTCTGTCCACCAAGGCTAAGGACAAGCGGGAAGAATCAAGAATCACCTGCTCCCGCTGAGAATTGAACCTAAGACTTCATGGTTCTCAACCACTTCATTAACCACTAGGTCACACCCTTGGGAGCTGCTCGCCTGGTCTTTCTCCGTTCAAGCGAAAACTTACACTGCTACCAATATCAGTCATTCTTATAGGCCTTCTCTAATTCTCAGTCTAAATTTTAAAGATAGCAACATTACTTTTTGTATTGTAAATTGTAATATATGTACAACTATTGATAGTACTGGAAGGAATTATGATTACCTTTTATGTAAGATACTGTTAGTCACCCATTCGCCCCCCTCCCACAAATGCTAACCTACAAGTCAACCTCTTCCGATCTCTCTATCTCTAGCATTATCTACCCACTAGAACCTCCACTCCCACTTCTAATGGGTGTAATCCGTCTAAGGAAGATTTTAGTTCCTTCACCATGCCAAGCCCTTGCTGACTATAAACAATCACTCAAATTGGACAAGAATTCCATGCCTCACTCATTGTCTCATTAGCACCAATCCATAACAAAATAGGATAAAAAGAAAGAGAAACAGAACCGGGAAACATGGTTGGGGTGATTGAACAAGGGAAAAAAGGGCTTGCTAGAGGGTTAGTTGAATACAAACTGTCTATGATTATTTGGTACATGGGAGACAAGGATTCAAGTACAGCAAAAGCCAAAAAGAATAGGTGATTTCTCTTAATCTGCCTGAGCTTTGATGCATAGAGTCACCCAAATATAAATACTGGTGGGATGCAAGAACTCAATGAAATAGTCAAGGTACGCACGTACTGGCCATGAGGACAGGGCAAAGAAATATCTAGGCTTCTAAGTTTTAACTATATACATGCACAGATTTCTCAGAGAAAATAGCTGTGGCAGTTCGCTAGTAACAAGAACGGTCGAATAAAATAGGAACTAAAGCGAAACATAGTGTCAAGGGGAGGGAAGGTAAGCTATTCCTGATGTATCAGGAAAACTATCATCAAATCTGACAAAATTTTGAGAAGTTGTTGTAAAGGGATGGATTAGATTCTTCTTAAGGTATCACCACAGTCACACTTATTTTCAAAGCCTTGAGTTCATTTTCTTCACAAGATGGTTCCTACTGTCGTAAAGATATTGGCAGTCAGCAGTCCAGAGAGAAGATTCAACAGAGCCTTAAAAGGCAACTTCAAGGAGCCAACTAACAAATAACAAGAGTTGTGTTGATGTTTTTGTTCTAAAGAAGGGACTTGAAAAGGCAAAAGTATTGACACTGCGTAAGGGACAGCATGGAATTGCAAATATATAATATGTCAACAAGAAGAGCTACGAAAAGCAATATAAGTTCTAGTGCCTAATCTCAAGCTAATTCTGAAGAGACAAAACTTAAAAGAAACAAATACCTGCAAGCAAATGGTATCACATACTGCTGTAGATCCAAAATTACCATCATTGCCTTCCTTCACTAATCTTGGGAGAAGTTTCTTGAAGTACATTTCCCATATTGTGACATTGATATTTATTGAATCAGCAGCTGAGTGCAGAACCTTTATAAATCAATTAAAAGGTTTACTCATGAGTGGATGACCTAAATAAGACTGGATTTTTTGATAAAATTATAGGGAAATACTACACAACTCATCATCCTATAACTGAAGCAGAAAATCCAAGTTCAATGTACATGTCCTTTCAATGGACAGGACCCAACACAAAACTTACATAGAGGACAGATAAATCATTCATTTCTTGGTCTGTACACTTTGGACACAGTTAGGGAAGAAATTTCCCTAGCTTATCGCAACATATATTTAGCATCCAGCGCATCATTCTAGAAATTCAATGTCTGATGATTATGATTACAATATAGAAAATAGAGACGTGTATATGAGTTATTTTAAATTTCTTGGGTTATTCAGGGTCTTAATGGATTATCAAGGTATTGACCGATGCATGTTCAATATTGAAAACAAGAGCAAATCACAATGCAATGGATATTTCACCTTTGGATACTGCATGGGTGGCAACATTGGCTCAGGTAATGCTTTTGGGAAGAATGGGTGCTCATCAGGGCTTGTGTATCTTCCAACCTGTAAAGCCATCCATCAGAAAAATATGCAAAGAAAAGATATATTTTATCCACACAAGCTTAGGATGAAAGTACCTTCGCATGAAGCTTTTCAGTTTCTTTGACAATATACTCAACCAAAGAGCCATGGAACCCGTCCATCACAAAAACATCAGGATCATATGTCTCCGCATTGAAACAGTACTGAGCTCTCTCCACAAGGCTGAATATTATGCTATCTTCTTGTCGAATTAAAGAGTTCCTTATACCATCGAGAGTGTAACTTTCTGTCTCATCTATTCTCTTTATTTCCCTAGGAAAAGAGCAAGACACATCAGAATACATGTTTTCTGAGTTGTAATTACGGCACTAAAGTATTTTAATATGAAGTTAGGTAATGCCCATCTTGTCCATCTCTTTAATATGAAGGTAAGTAATGCCTCCACACTGCAAATAGACACTTTTTAAAGATGTGCAAGACACAGCATGGTAGTCTCACTTCACCTACTATCCAGTCTCTTTGTCCCAATTTATGAGACACCCCTTCTTTTCCTTTTTAATTTGTCTTAAAAAGAATGACATATGTCTATATTTTAGAACAATTTACTTTTAAACTTCTCAGCTTATTAGATGATCTTTAGTCACATAAATATCTATGGGAATGTTATATATACCAAAAGTTTCAAGAATCTTTCTTTCTTAAATTTCATACAGAGTCCAACACCATCACATAATTGAGATGGAGGGAATAATACACTTTTTGTCACATTAGATTCCAACCCTATTTCTTCGACATTCCATAGTTCAAAAGAACTTAGGGATCAGAAGGTTGAACTCCATTTAGATGTCCAATAAATTTAAGTTCCTCACCATGTGCCCAAAGGATCCAAAACTTAGACATACAAGTTTGGACTATGTCTACAGAGTACTATGTACCTTCCAAATTAACACACACAATAAAAAGAGGAAGATTAGGTGAAAGTTGACTAAATTGGGAGAAACTGGACTCAAAAGTTGGACTTTTCTTGCATTGCTAATTGTTGATGCCAAAGCCATGTACAATTTAATGGGAGCTGACACACAGACACAAGAATATCAGTGCAACGCATAACTTAAGATGGGGAAAAGGAAGTCAAAGTCCCAATTCACGTCCCAATTCAGTAGCATTAAAGTTTATCCTGATCCAAAATAACCATACAAAAACTAAACAACCATCAAGATAGTTTGACAGTAACTTTGTAAAAAAAAAACAGAACCCAAAACTCAGAATCCAGTAAAAAATCAAAACCCATAACAAAAAATTCACTGTGGCATTAACCCAAACGCATGCAGAGCCTTATAAAGATTGAATTTTTCAAGAAACATATTCCTTTCAAAAAAATAATAATTTGAAGAGTAAAGATTGTATCTTTTTACCCAAGAGAAGCTGCAAAAGCTTGAATGGGTCGAATGCCATGCTTAATGGTACCTGAATTTGATAACTGAAACTTAAGAAAATGTTTAGGCAATTTTTGATGGGGTAAAAGGGTATTGTTTCTTGAATAGTTAGTAATAAGAGGGGTTGTAATGGGAGTAGATGAAAGTCTTAACAATTGAGCTTCCATTACAAACAGGGATAGAGAAGAAGAAGAAGAAGAAAGGAGAATATTTTGGCTGCAAATGTAGTTTAAGAAAAATGCATTTGAATAGAGGGGTTTTGGAGTTTGAAGAGTTAGGTGAGTTTTCTCCGCCTGGTGAGGTCCACTTGGTGGGTGGGGCTGTTAGGTATCTGATGCGATATCCTCCTACTACCTAGTCTTCCTCTGTAAGGTGGATTTTAAAATACAATATCTTTTAAAAAGAATTTTCTCAACTTTTAGTGATCAAATATTTGATTTGTCAAATTATGTGATTAATTTGATTTGTCATTTGTCATCTAAAATAAATACTAATTGATTTGTTAGTTATTAAAGCATTTTATTAAGGATAAAATGAGTATTTTAAAAATTACATTATTACTATTAAATATAAAAATATGTCCTTTTTTGTTGGAGAACTTACTAAAAAAAGTGAATCATATAAATAAAAATAGAAAAAAATAGAAAGAGTAATGAGGATTCTGTGTATTAAGAAATTAAGTAATTTTACCTTTCTATCCTTATTTAATATTTTCTTAAGTCAATTTTTCAATAAATAATGAATATGCTTAGATTTCAAAAATTAAAATGCACTTAGATGACTATTTAAATTTTTGAGTTTTTTTTTTTTAGCCAATTTTTTTCACCAATTGATCTAAAAAAATTTATTGAAGCTTCAACTTTCAAGATTTTTTTTTTATTTTTTCTCCATTTTTTATTTTTAATTTGTTTGTTGAAATTTCTTTTTCAAAATAAGTTTTTATAGAATAGTGAGTGGAGAGAGTAATTAATTAATGTATGAAGTACTTAAATGAATATTAATTACTTGTTAGTTTTCCTAGGTTAGTCAAAGTATATATTTTCAAGACTAATTAATTACTCTATCAAGGGTATATTAGGAAGAATATGGTAATTTATGCATTGATTTTATGAAATGACAAGTATTATGGATCAACTATTTGTAGAAAGGGATGACATATAAAAATGAATGGAGGGAGTACTATATTATCCTTTGATTTTATAAATTTAATGTTTTGACTTTATTAAATTTAATGCTTTTGAAAAATGTGTTACTCCCTCCATTTCAAATTAATTGAATTGTTGAGGTGTTTCACACCCTTTAAGAAAAGAAGATTAAGACATAAATTAGACATAACTTTCCATTTTTATCCTTGTTAATTATTATCAAATTTATGATTAAAATAACTAAATATTAATTAATAATTAATTCCAATACTAATTAATTAATGATAAAATTGGAAGAACATTTTAAAAATAGTCTTGAAAATTGAATAATTAAGTTAATTTGAAAAATGACTCAAAAATTCAATTAATTTGAAATGGAGGGAGTAGATGATAAATAATACTCCTACTCCCTCCATTCCATATTAATTGAATTTTTGAGGCATTTTTCAAATTAACTTATTTATTCAGTTTTCAAGACTACTTTTAGGGTGTTCTTTCAATTTTACCCTTCATTTGGATTTTCAATGTGATGATTTCAATAAATTTGACAATAATCAATAAGGGTAAAAATGGAAAATTATGTTCAATTTATGTTTTAATCTACTTTTCTTAAAGGGTGTGAAACACCTTAAAGATTCAATTAATTTGAAATGAAAGGAGTATTTAATAACAAGGGTAAAATAGACACAAAGGACAAATTATCTCTTGATTTTCTAAATTGAACAAGTATTGTTAAATAACTAATTTTAATATAGTGAACAACTATTGTTGGACGGAGGAAGTAAATAATAAATATTTATGTGACTATGCAAACCATTAAATTTGTCACTTATACTATGTAATAAACTGGAACAGAGGGGTAATATTTTAATACGTGAGCCATTAAGTTTGTCACTTATACTATATTTCTAATTTGCTTTAACAAGTTGAAATTTTTTAAAAATTATTTCCGATCTAGATGGAAGAAATAGGAAACATAAACTAAAAAAAAATTGATTTTTGAGATCAGAATTTTAATTATATAGATTGTTTTTATGAAAAAACTTTCGATTATTGAGATCAAAATCTTAATTATATAGATTGCTTTTATGAAGAACTTTTGATTATTGAGATCAGAATTTAATTATATAAATTGTTTTTAGAAAAACTTCTGACTATTGAGATCAGAATTTTAACTATATAGATTGCTTTCATGAAGAACTTTTAATTATTGAGATTAAAATTTTAATTATATGGATTGCTTTTATGAAGAATCCACATGCAGGCTTTGGGAGTGGTGCTTTTGGTGCTCAGTGCGCGAATTTTACTCCTTTATTTTTTGTAATCTAATCTAAATTAATAAATAACCTCACTTTTTTTTTTTCAGAAAAAGAAGAAGTGAAGACTTAATTAAATAAATAAAAAGGATTCTTTTTATGTCCTCCCCCCCCCCCCCCCCTCCTCCGGCGAAAATAATGTGACGCTTTTAAAAAAAAAAAAAAATGTTGTTTTTAATGCAAAACATTTCGTTGGCAATTCGTAAGTGGCCAATCCAATCTTTAAATAGGTCAATGGTGGGTTTCTCACGTGGAAAGACTTAAAAAATAAAAATAAAAAATTGAACATTTTGAATTCAAATATTCCCAAAAGAAATTTCAATAGCTCAGTTAATAGACTATTTAAATTCTAAAAAAAAAAAGAGACTACATATATTTTTATTTATTGGTAAGGATTCGATTCTTCATATGGGCCTGCCCTCAATTTATAAAGAAAAAAAGAGATTCAAACGTTTAATTTTGTCCAATTTGATATATTGCAGCCTGATATTCAAAAGTTGGCAGAGTCAAATTTAACTTTTGTCCAGTTTGTACGTTGTTGCCTAATATTGAAATGTTGGCATCAAATAGCCATATTTAACTCTTTTTAGTCAAAGTAAGTAGCCTATAAATATTCTCTCTCTTCCTAAAAAATATATTTCAATTGTCCTCCTATCTTTTTAAAATGTATCCATATCTTACTCTAATGTATGTTGCACGTGAAGCGATGATAAATGTTAGTTTAGTTGAATAAGTTTTTTTTTGTTAATTCTTTTTAGGAGCTTTCATTTTATTTTATTTTTGGTGATTCGAACTTTCAATCTTCAAATTGAAAGTGAAGAGTATTTACTATTCGAGTAATTAATTGAATAAGTATCGATTAATTTTTTAACCGTTGTTATTGGTCATTTTAACAAAAAAAAAAATGTGGATTTTCACGCAAAGAAGTGTTGCTATTTGTGCATTTCTTCCGTGTTGATTTGGTGCATTTATTTTGTGATTTTCCTTATAATTACTATCTTGTAAGAGAAGTTTTTGAAACAAGTGTAAACGCAAATGAAATTAAATATCATATATATATTTTGATATGTATTCTGTAAATTAACAAACATACAATCAAAATAAACATTTTGTAAATTAATAAATACACATTCAGTTATCCAAATATCTCTATATATATATGAAAATAAAAACATTGATGTGGCATGCTTCTTTGATCAATATTGCTATTTATTTATTTTCTCATAATTTTAATTTTTTTTCTTCATTCTATGTTCAAAAAACTTTTAAAATATTACTTTCTTTCGTTATTATTAGCATTTATTAGATTAACCTTTCGTTTCAAAAGAAATTATGTAACGGCTAAATGCATAATAGTGCAATTAGTATAATCATAACACATAATTTCTTCAATAAATCATTATTAAATAGTATTGCAATTAGGACATTGATTAATTAACTTCATACAAATGGCAGTAACGTTAATTTTCTATTATTACAAAATAAATGGCAATTTAATTTGACTATATTTTGAAATTAAATTAGCAGTAATACAGACGTTTTCCTATTCCAAGATAATTGATTGTCCGCAAATTAGCACTTATTACGAAAGTTTAATTTTTTTAATAATTGCAACATTAATGATTATGTCTAATTTCTAATAGATATTTAAACTTTCTTAATCCTCACTATTTACTTAAGCATCTTCTCTCTACTACTAATTAAATTCATTCTAAGGTTTAAAGGTACGTAATTTTTCGCTATCCCATTAAAATAACTTTCCTCTTTCAAATTACATGAATAATGAGTAGTTAGGTTCTCTGATTTCTCTTCCCTTTTTTGATTACCTCTAATTATATATGTCAAAATTGTATAATGATATTCGGTTTAAAATGTGTATTTATATTACGTTATTGCTTTATATTCTATGCATAATTGCATTGTTACATCATTATTTTGGGTGTTTTGAGTTTATTGTAAATTTTATATGTGCAGAAAATGTATCAAATGAACATGATCGAAAAGAGGTGAACGAAGATTGAAGGATGACTAGGTTCTCACCTCGCGAGACCCATGCAAAGAAAATTTTTGATCCATTTTTTAATTTAGCGTATGCGTCAATTATATTTGTTAATATATGTCTTCCAACTAATCATAGCCTCCTTGTGAATTATCAAAATTTTATTTATTTTAAAAGTTTCATCAGTGAAATGATCTAATTTTCATTCTTCATAAATATAATAGAAATTTGTTTCATTGAGAAATGCTTATTTTTACGAATTATACTTAGAATATCCAAGATTTTTCCTCTATGAATTGAATTAATTAAATTGTTTCAATTCATATAAATGTTGAAATAATATGAGGATTTTAAAAGTATGAATTTGAGAAAAGTTAAGAGGAAGCCGGCAGGAAATTTTTGAAAGCAATTAGAGAAAGAGTGCATTACTTTTGGCTAAGAAATTTTCTGGCTGAACACGCTAAAAATTTGTGAATTCAATCTTCATCAACATATTTTTAACTTTTACAAGATTATAAATTTGAAGATGATAAATATTTCATATTTTAAAATTTTTACTATGATTTATTTATTTTTTCTTTTGACTTTGAAATCTATGATTTCTTTTTATATGATATGGGTTATATTAACAATTTTTTAAAATGTTAGAATATTTACTTTTAAAAATTAGAGAAGTTTGTAATTGACAATTAGATTTTTTAAAAAAAAAGTAAGCTCTGATCTTAATTAATTATGAATTAGGTGATGTACAAAGTTTTGGAACTAATTTGAAAAAATATTTAAATTTGTATGCATAAATACATAAAGATCTCATCTATTAATCCATTATATCTTGGCTAAATTTGTAACGAGGTCATATCATATTCCTATTTATTTAATTGCTTACTTTTTAAGATTTTTTTCTCTCTTTCTAATATCGTTCCTTTTTAAGAGTCAAGTGATATGAATTTCGATCAAAATTAAATTAATATATATTTCTTGCTCGTATTGATAAATGATACATGAGTAAAATTGTAATTTATAATACTTTTCATATAACTTTTGAATATCTAAACTTTAATTTTAAAATATAAAATTAATATAATCTTATTTAACTTTGAAAAATAGATAAATTGACTCTCGAGAGGTATCATTACTTCATAATAAATAGCTTATAATCAAATAAAGAAAAGAATACTATTCCAAAAATTTAATCTTATAATCAAAAGAATTTGTAGTAGATAACCTTTTAAGTTTTAATTGTCCAATTGGAGAGGGGCAACCCATTGAATTGTAATGTTTCCACACATATTTCTTTGTTCCTTTATATATTTAGTTTCTTTTCTTATCATTATTTTATTCTTAATGAAGGAAATTGGGCAACCCATTGAATTGTAATGTTTCCACACATATTTCTTTGTTCCTTTATATATTTAGTTTCTTTTCTTATCATTATTTTATTCTTAATGAAGGAAATTTTCGGAAAACAAATATTTCATACTATCCTAATGAAAGAAACAAACCTACTAGGCTACTACTATTAGAATCACATACAAAAATATTGTATTTTAACATGATTTTTTAAATATATTTTTATTTAAAAAAAAAGATATAATAAGAAAAAGAATATCGTTCATCTAACTCTAATTTTATTAACAAAATTATATAATAAAGATTTCATAAATATTTTTAATTATTTTTTATGCATACGCATAATTTTTTTTATCATATTTGTTTGAAAAAAAATTGTATTTTAAAAAATCTTGTCTAAATTAATTAATTTACCTCGCAAAGCACGGATATACTTCCTAGTTATGTATAACTAAACAAACTTTTTTGGATATACACAAATGACTGTATACATTATATCTACACGATAGAGATAATTTACGTATTATAAGAATGTTGTTGAAATAAGATTGCTACTCGGATAGTTCAGTAGTACTCCTTGTACACACATTAAAATAATTGTACTCAAGCTTCCAATTATACGTCCTAAATATGCTTAACATTCAATGATCACTAGAAAATTCATATGTTATTTTTTGAGGAATTTTTGCAAATAGACAATATAATAAACTTAATTATGCTTCATAGCTATAGTTTGCATATTTACCGTAGCCACAATTTAAGTTGTCCCGTTTGTATAATTTACGGATATGTTTGTATAATTGAACTATTTTTGTATAAACTCAAAATAACGAATTTATACAAACACAATCATCTGAACTTTAAACAGTTATACAAATTATATTATAAAAATTACACTATACAAAAGTTATACAAATCATATTATACAAAATTCCGAATTATACAAACTCGAAACCCAACTCACGTAATTATCACTAAATATTGATCGCGAGTGGTAATTAACTTAAATTATAGCTATAATGACTGATTAGCTATATTTGCTTAACCATATAATTTTTCATTTTTTAGTTAGCATCATGACTAGGGGTCTGTATCGGTCAGTTCGGTTCGGTTATAAGTATTATCGGTTCGATTTATCGATTTTTGGTTTTTTAAATTTGCTAAATCGATAACCAAACCAATAAGATATTTGTTATCGGTTTTCGGTTTATCGGTTTTAGGTCTTTAACGGTTTGGTTTTCGGTTTAACCAATAAGAAAATGCTTTCAAAACAAATATATGACTTATCCAATAATTTGACACGATACGCATACATCGAAATAATCATTCCAAACGGGACAACAAGGACCAACATTTTGGTCATCACAACAAAGACTTGGTTAATTTTCGATCACCATAGTATATATAAAACGAGGTCCCCTTTATGCAATAAAGAGAATTAAAATAAAACCAAATCATAGACAAAAGTCAAAAACAGTAGCAAATGAGGCCATGCTTATGGTAACTAAATGAAGTTCTTACGTTATTTTTTTTAAAAAAAACACACAATTTGAATTCCTGACGTTAATCAAATTGCAGATATTTACAATCGTGCAAAAGCTAATATTAATCAATTATAAACTAACTAAAGTAAATAAGTAATACTAAAAAGTAAAACCTAAAGGTTAAATAACTAAAAGTAGAGAGGAGAGTTAATTGTTAAGTAGTGTTAATTATTGCGTAGGATTTTATATTTTTAGTCTAATATACTACTAATTATATTAATATTTTTTTAATATATTATATATATGTATAACTAAAAATTAAAATAGTAAATTATCCCAATAACCCAATAACAATAAACCAATAATACTTTTTTCGATTCGGTTTATCGGTCGGTTCGGTTTTTGCACACCCCTAATCACGACCCTCAAATTCCTTAATTAATAAATAATAAAAAATCTAATTCGTCCATGGATATATAAAGTAACTTCAATAACGAGTCATAATATTACATAATTTTGGAGTAACTTGTTCGTGATAAATATCATTTGAAATACGTTATTTCTCCTTAGATATTTTTCCTAAAACCTTATCCCCGACAGTTTCTGATGAACGTTCGTTTAGAGTTCAACTAAAATCTTTACTCTATCAAAGACCCAATTCGACTATTTTTCTTCAAAAATTCCAATTTGTAAGATGCAGATGCCAACACCAATCCGAGCTCCTACATGGGTTTCAAGGCGAAGACACTTCGAGCAGAAATTATGGGATTTAGATAAATGCAGAGACATTAACCAACTGAAGCAAATGCAGGCATTGGTATACAAATCCAATCTTGAACAAGACCCTTTCATTTCTCCAAAGCTAATTGCTGCTTTCTCTAATTGTAGACAAATGGGTTCTGTTTTGAAGGTTTTTGATCAAGTGCGTGACCCTAATGTGCATTTGTATAATGCTTTGATAAGAGCTCATATTTACAACTCTCAACCATCTCAAGCTTTTGATACTTTCTTTGATATGCAGTCTTCTGGTATTTTTCCTGATAATTTTACCTTTTCGTTTCTTCTAAAGGGTTGTTCGGGGAAGTGTTGGTTGAGTGTTGTGAGTATGATTCATACCCATGTTGTGAAATGGGGGTTTGAGGATGATATATATGTGCCCAATTCGTTGATTGATGCTTATTCCAAGTGTGGGTTAGTTGGTGTCCGAATTGCAGGTCAGTTGTTTTGGGGAATGAAGGAGAGAGATGTTGTTTCTTGGAATTCCATGATTAGTGCGTTGCTGAAAGTGGGGGATTTGAGTGAAGCGCGGAAGCTGTTCGATGAAATGCCTCAAAGAGATAGGGTTAGTTGGAATACTATGTTAGATGGATATACCAAGGCTGAGCAAATGAGTGTGGCATTTGAGTTGTTTAAAACTATGCCACAGAGGGATGTCGTCTCTTGGTCCACCATGGTCTCGGGTTATTGCAAAGCTGGGGATTTGGAGATGGCTCGGATGTTATTTGATAAGATGCCTTCCAAGAATTTGGTTTCTTGGACAATAATGATATCAGGGTATGCTGAAAAGGGTCTTGTAAATGAGGCAATTCAGTTGTTCATGCAAATGGAGGAGACAGGTTTGAGGCTTGATGTTGCGGCTTTTGTTAGCATTTTAGCTGCCTGTGCAGAATCGGGCATGCTTAGTTTGGGTAAAAAAGTGCATGATTCCGTCGAAAGGAGTATGTACAAGTGTAATACTTTGGTTTGTAATGCGTTGATTGATATGTATGCCAAGTGTGGATGTTTGCACAAGGCTTATAAAGTCTTTAACGGGCTGAAAAAAAGAGACTTGGTATCTTGGAATGCTATGATACATGGGTTGGCTATGCATGGACGTGGAAAGAAGGCACTTGAGCTCTTCATTAGGATGAAGCAAGAAGGATTTGTGCCTGATAAAGTGACATTAGTTGGTATATTGTGTGCGTGCAATCATACTGGTTTGGTGGATGAGGGAATACTTTTTTTCTATTCCATGGAGAAAGATTATGGGGTAAAACCTGAAGTAGAACATTATGGTTGTCTTATTGATCTTTTAGGCCGTGGTGGCTATGTTAGAGAAGCTTTTGAACTTGCACGAAAGATGCCGCTTGAACCTAACGTTAAAATTTGGGGTTCCCTTTTAGGGGCTTGCAGGATGCATAAAGATGTTGAACTTGCAGATGACTTGCGTAACCTCCTAGTTAAATTAGAGCCTAAAAATGCTGGAAAACTTTCTGCATTGTCGAATATTTATGCTTCAGCAGGAGACTGGGATAATGTTGCCAACATAAGGTTGATGATGAAGAACATTGGCAGGCCAAATCAATCCGGTGCCAGCTTATTACTATTGAATGATGAATACCGTGAATTCACCGTGATGGATAAATCTCACGTCAAATCAGACAAGATTTATCAGATGGTAGACAGATTAGGTCAGCATCTTAAATTGCTTTCTCCTGTTCCAGCAGGTCTTTGCGATGAATGATGAGTTTCATGAACTGAGATGTGTCTCTTACATCAGACCAGATATAATAGATTTATGCAGTTAATCAACACTTTCTTGTAAATAGTATTCCCAGATAAGTTAACTATTATGTAACGATACAAAGCTGCAATGATAAGTATGATTCCTGGGATCAATCTCTCTCGAAGCAGCAATGACACTTGAAATAAAGGTGAAATTTGTTGTACGTCCTTCTCTCCTACTACACTTTCCTGCCCAAATCAAGATAATAGTGAAGAACACTTTTCATGGTCAATGTTTGTACAGTCATAAAACTCAGAGGAACATACATTTTAGATAATGATGAGTTGTAAACAAGCACTGTTCTGTCTCTTAAGTTATTTAGGCCTCAACTTCTTAAAGTGCCTTTCTACCTTCTTGAGTAGTGGTAAGGTTTGCGTACACTCTACCTTCTCCTGAAACCACTTAGTGGGATGTCACTGGGTATGTTATTGTTGTTGTTGTTGTTGTAACTTCTTATCATTAATCTGTTGGCTGTCTTCTCCATGTGCTAGATGTGTAATACCAGGGAAAATTTACAGTGGTGAAAAAGATTAAATTTGCTGTTGGAAGCAGCATTAGTTTTGGCCCAAAAGCAATGACAATTATGGTTGACATATATGGTTCAAAATGAAACACGATACACTTCCCCCTCAGTCCGGATTATTTGGACCACGCTGCAGCATTAATCCTCTCATTTAACTATTTTCTCATAGAAACTGTGCTCTGTGATTAGGTCCTGGCTAAAATAGACTTTAGAACTGAGCCTACCAAATGGAGATTGGAGCTTTTTCTTTGAGCAGACTTCCCAGTACTATTAAGCTGGTCAATGTTGAGGAGTGTTGGGCTCTGGGAAGATTTTTTTTGGGCTTAAGAGCCCTAAAATTCAATGCTGATTTTGCAAATATTCCCTTTTAGGTCACTCTTTAGTACATAATCTTAAACATGTGCAAGTGTAGCCGTTGAATAATTATCCTTCCGAACAACGTTAGACTTAGATGTAATGCATTACTTAATCTTACAGATAAAACATTAGACTGTTGTCGTCTAATGCTTGCAATAACTTACACAATTTATACTGAATCTAATCATCGATCATGGTTTTGAACCCTATATATTGAAGAAAAAGCAAAATATGTTGTCTTTAGTTTTCCCTTTTAGAAGATTTCTATAACAAAATGGATGTCTAAAATGAAAATGTTAAAGAGAAAACAAGAGTAAATAAAAGGAAAATTCAAAACAAGATTAAACATAGGTGGGGTGGGGTGTGTGTGAGCATGTTACTCATTGATTGCTCAAAAGTGAAATATGAATTAATTGAAAGAGTTAAATCACTCTTATCAATTAGTAGTTGGTTCATTATTTATTCTTCTTAGGTTTCTACAGTTTGTTGGCCCATCACAATCTGAAAATGACTTCCCCCATCTTCCCTCATTTATCCCAACAAAACAAAAATCGAATATCACTATTTTTTTTTTCGTGGTCTAAAAACATATCGTGATATTTGTGTGACATGAAATCATGTCTAGCAAAAAGGTAAGAGTATAACATAAATTGCAATACATGGAGTATTAGACACCAACAACTTTTCATTAAATGACAGTTGGCCATGCATATAATTATAGAGTAAATTCCCCCCAACAACTGTTTAATGAGGGGACCTTTGTCATTAGCAGATATTTTTGTTAACATTTCTTGTTTTTTTTAATATATAGGGATAAAGTTGGAAGTGGCTTGTGATCTTCAAGAATTAATTATTGATTTCATGTGCAATTTGTTACAAAAAGGACTTGATTAAGCATAAATGTTGGAATTTTGTGTTTGCAAAGTAGAATCATATGTCAAACAAGCAGACATGGATCATGTTAACATACAGACAAATAGATGAAGCTTCACTTGTTTTATATGTTGGAGTGAATATACATTACATTACATCACAATAATTGATAGGAGATCTGTATGAGAACTTAGTTAAAATATGGAGTAAAAAACAATGCATTTGAATGAAGTGATTGATTCATTATAAGACGTGGATTCAAGATTTGAAATTTGTGAGCTCTCATGCAAAGTAGAGTTTAACAAGTTTCTTTTATGTCACTAGATCAACAACACACTTTGTTTATGGGTTCTCAAATCGTAATTCTTAGATATAATTAAATTTCTCAATACAAACATAAAATTCGTACAAAAATTACTAGATTCTTGAGAATCCCCACCTAACAACCCGAATCCACCCATGTTCAAAGTTATAAGGCTATTGATATCATAATCGACCACCTCAATAAAAAAATATCTTTTTAAATCACGTTTTTGTTAGTGCTATTAAAGTGAATGATCTTAAGTTGTTAGAGAGAGTATCATTTATTATCTATTTCATTATGTACACATATTTTTACCAGAAAAAAATTGATATTCTCAAAATGTCCCCTCATGCGTGTGTTCAGATTTGTTTTATCATTAAATAGATTTTAAAAAAAAATAAAGGTAACAATAAGACCTGATCCAAGTACTCCTGCATATTCTGCTACCATGTTATTTTTATCTAAAAACATTTTTAGATGAGATAATCACAAAACTTACAAGCACATGAAATACATCGAAATTTAAATGGCCTCAGCGTTTCTATTCATCTACTTGTTTTTCACTTACCAAGTGGCTTACTATTATTTTTCTAGATGAACTAATTTCCATGGACAAAAAAAACTTTTTAAATTTCAACACAAGAAAAACTTTTAAAAATCTTTAAAATGTTGAATAATCAGCAAAAATGTAATTTAATGGAGAGAAACGAAACACCAACGTGTAGGGCCCTTATTGTGCCATAAATAAAATAACTTTACCAATTTTCTCAAAATATAAAATCTTAACTAACAGCGTGGACTTTTTCTTTGCTTACTTTTACATTCCAACTATAATTTATTTTTATTACAACTTTTTTCTCTATGCTATTTTAACAAACTAAAATAATACTATGCTGAAAATGATACATATTCTCCACTAATGGACCATCCATAATATTTAATTCTTCGTTGGTAGGTTAATTTATCCATTAGATCGCATTTATATATATGGACGCATGGAGTTATTTAACTTTTTCCAGAGTAAAATTATAATAATTTTGATTCAAAATTTATATTTATATTTAAAAATTAACTAAATATAATTTATTAAAATATTATTTAATTTTAAAAATTAATAAACTCAATTTTTAAATTCTTTTTTAGTGAAGCTTACGCGAATTTTTGTTCATATGCTTTTATTATTTTATGGTGAAAGAGACGTACAATAATTTTAAACCATTTTATTCACTTCGTATTTGACAAGTTTATTAAAATTCACAACTACTTCGCCCATTCAATTTATATCTCTGTCAAGTACTAATAAATAGATAAATTAATTTACGCAACAATAATTAAAGTAATCAGATAATCTTCAACACTAAAATGGTAAAGAAAGCAGCATACCAACATGTAAATTGGACACAAACTCACACACAAAAAAAAAGGATTGAGTCACATATATTAAAATTAAATTATTATTATTTTATTAAATATAAAATAGTCTTATTCTTTTTTGCACTATGTACTAAAAAAAGTATCATATAAATAGAGATTATTATGCTCAACGAAATAATTAGTTGAGAAATATGAAATATCATGTTCAAAATTTTGACAGGAAAAAACGTTAGATGTTTTTTGTTTATCTATTATAATTATGATGAATAAAAAATATCACATAAAATTAATCGACATATGTATAAACTGGCCAGGACATTAAAGATTATTAAAAAAATGAGACAAGGAGTACATTATTTATGTCCAAACACTAGAATAAATAAATGATTTAGTGATAATAACATAATTATTAATATTTAGTGATAATAATAATTATGAGTATTTATAACCGATATTTTATATAAATATAATAAAAAATTTAATGATTCTAAATATAATGACGTGAACACAATTGCGATAATTCTCTCACGCGCCAGAGAAGGAGAGGTCAGCTACACATAATCTTTATAGTGAATGTTGTCGTACATTTTGTACTTTCCCGTCAGAGAAAACACCATTGCTGCGCGTGATTATTAATTTTAGATGCAATCTTTATTGATGATAAAATGAGGGAGACTTACAAACATCACCCTACTCTTTATTTTATTTTTTCCAATTAGATTATTTTGCCATGTGACATATAAATCTAGTTTTATTCTAAAAAAAATAAAAATTACGTGAATCGTATCGTGAAGCGTATACTTGACATTGGGTAGAAAATAACTTTAAAAAGTAAATCATAACAATAATAAGATATTCAATGTAACTTTACTAGTAGAATTTAAAAAAATCAAGATGCACATAGACAAAAATTTTTTAGTTATATTGTTTTTATTATCTACGTAACTATTCTTTCAACAATGATTGTCAACTATTGGCTTGATATAGGGATTAAGAAACAGTAAATGATAGGTGTGATTTGGTATGACATGAGTAATTTTACCAAATCACCCTTATTAAATATAAATCATCTAAACATTGAAAAAATGAATAATATTTAATAGTAAAGGTAAAATAGATAGAAAATAATAAATTACTCATTGATTTTATGAACTAGATAAATATTATTGGACATCCTAAAATAATATAGTGGACAAGTGAAGATGAGCAAAGGATTAGTTAATTTTCTTTTTATGCCATCAAATCATTTAAATGATAATTATAGTTATGAGTACTCGTTTATTAATTACTTGAAAGATGAAAATAATCTAAAGTAGTTGTCAATAATAAAGAAATATAAAATTAAATTGTGTGGTACCCAACAAGCAGGAGAGAAGAGAGAGGGCTCACAGAGAATCTAGAATATGTGCTACAAATACCTATGTCTTTCAGTTCCTCAAAAGCCCAGAAAAATAAAATCTGTCAAATATTTTATTTTATTAATTTAGATACTTCTTTGTTTTTTTTTTTGTTATATAACTCTATCAAAGATAGCCAATTGGGTAAAGAAATGATTGTAAGGTGAAAGAAAAAAAAAAGTAGTATATGAGAATAACAAAGAGACCACATGTTGACATTTTTGAAGTCATTGCTTTTTCCAAAGACTTCATTTTTTTTTTCTCTGTAGAGAGAGAAACAAAGAGATAGATCTTAATCTAGCTTCTTTTGATTGATCACACCACAAGGGCACTTT